GATTACTCATTACTCACCCAAAATTGAACAAAGTTACCTATCAGTTATCCATATAATTTCCAATAGTATGACCCATTACAAAGTTTAGTGAGTAATGAGTAATATTGTTCAAATTCAGGCTAATAACAAGTAACTTTTTAAATTTGATGAGCAATTAGTAACCTATAGCAAAAATCAGTGAGCAATGTTTAACTATTCAAAGATCGGTGAGCAAGTTGTAACCTGTAGCAAAGTTCAGCAACCACCGATTAAAATGATCTCATTATGCCTCTATTAAAGTGTTTAAACTTGGGTCTTCTCAAATTCATATCATTGATATGGAGTGTCGGGAGAAGAAGAGGCTGGGTGTCAAGCATTGAGGGGAGTATTCTATTACTTTTTTTTTTCTTTCTATTTTTGCTAAATCGTAGTTATTTAAATTAAATTTAGAATAACTGCATGGGGTCAACCATCATGAAAAATTCAATCCCAAACATATTCAACTTTAATGTTCCGATAGAACGTCATTTTTCTTTTTACAGTTATGGTATAACTGAAGCTCGTGTTTCATGCACCATGAGACTCTCGTGATTTATGCTACTTATCTATAAGTAATTAAAATCAGATGTAGAAAAAAAACTTATAATTTTATTACCTCAAGCACCATGCATGCTCCATATCTAACTTGTTCTTTACTATTATTTTTCGTCGGCTCCTCGCTTACTCATCAAAAGATTTTATGAAGATTTGCTGTGATCCTTATCGCATCGTTTTGATGAAAATCTATCGGTACTAATTATTCATTCTTTCAAGCATCTAGCAGATATTCCAGTCCACATTGCATAGTAATTGCATGCACAATAATTATATAGCCAAATATCAACTTCAGCACCTTATTTTTTAACATCAAATGTAGCACCAAACTCCTAAAATTTATTAAAAATTATTAATATTTTCTCAAAAGAAATCTAAAAATTGGTATAAAAAAAATCCCGAATGTTACAAGAATATCGACTTTCCTTTCTTGATTTCCCTGCTTTTGTTTTATGTTTGCTACGATTGTCTAGTTTTGCTACGAACTATGAAAATCACTTAAAAATAACGAACTTTAAAGAACTTTATGTCTATTGATTTGAACTTCAATTCTCTTTGTACTTCAGTTGCTTTGTTGTGTATTTTCACCAATACAGAAATTAACTTCTATACAGAGTAGTCAGAATTGATTCTACTCTTGAGGCTTTTGAAAATCAAATTAGACGAAATTGACTACTCGGAGCATCAGTGCAGTTAAGGGCTTGCTTGGGAGTTATTATTATTATTATTATTTTAATTTTTCAAAAATTAACTTGTACATAAAAATATATTAGCTAAAAAATTACTCATAAGCAAAAAATTAAATTATAATAAAAATACATACAAGTAAAATATTACTTATAAGATAAGAGAATTACATTGTAATTAAAAATTACTTATAAGTAAAAAAATTACTTTTATGTTAAAAATATTATAAAATAAAAATAATACTAGTAGTTAAAAAGTTACTTATAAGTAAAAGCTCAAAATTATTTAAAAGTATAAAATTGATTTATAATTATAAAATTTACTTATAAATAAAAATATTAACTTAAAATTTTAAGTAAATATTTAACTTTATTTAATTTTTAAGTTAAATATTAACTTATATGGAAAAAAAAAATCTATAAGTAAAATATCACTTATAAGTACAAAAAATTGCATATAAGTAACTATAAATTGAAAAGTTTACTAATAAATATATATATAATTTTATTCTTTTAAATAACTTTCAGAGTAGGTGGATAATAAACTCTGAAACATACATTGAGAAGTTTTAAAAATTACTATTAAACTCATTCAAAATCGATCAGTTCATATACGTTCAAAATCGATACTTTAAAAAACGCTAATGATCTATACGTCGAAACTTCTAAGCAGGCCATGAGGATACCAAAATGTAAGGAAATTTAAAGATCGGGGTCTTAGCTGATATTTTCCAAAAGTTGAAAGAGGGCACCGGGCGACGAGGTTGAAACCATAAAATATTAGAGCTCCAATTAAACTGACTAATGATCAAATTTGGTTGTAACCCGGCTGCTCTTTCCTCTTTCATCAACCCCTACCCTTGTCTGAAGTAACAATTCAGTCAAATTCGTTCAGAAATTGAGCGTCGACTTTTAATAATCAATAGTCCATTCAATTTGCAGACATGGCGATGACCATTGAAGGTTCGATTTCTCCGTCTCCCCTTTCCTCGATCAATTTATATTTATTCATAATGATTCTATCGGAAACAAGCTGGTTCAACTTTTGCGATTAAAGGAAATAAAATTAGCGTATCAGGTCCCTGCTTGTTTAAAGATTAAATTTCCCGGAGAAAAATTAAAAATAAAAAGTATGCTCAATCATCATTCTAATAGAGATCAGCGATTACCAAAATAATATGCAACCACATGAAATTTGAATATACGCAAGTATTTAATCCTAGTTTCTGTTTTGAATTTTGAATTTGACTTTTTTTTGAGTCTTTATCAGGTACTTTTATTTGTTCCATTTTGTTTTACATTATCACTAACCTTGACTCTGTTGCTGTACTATACTGTTTTAATTGAATGAATCTCAAAATGAAAGCCTTACAGAGAAGTAACTCTGATTACTGTATCGCCTTAATGTATTGTCTTTTGAGTCTTTGCTGGTAGTTTTCTCTGGTTGTGTTTGGCAACTTGTAACGGCCCGGAATTGGTGTTCCCAATTAAGAATTTGAAATAGTGTTCGACTAACTGCAACTCCGAGGCCCGAATTTCATGCTGCCAAACACAACGTAGGCTATTATTGATTTATTATAGTTAACTCACCGTTTGGAAAAAATTATAAATAGTTAAATTTCATTTTCAACCACACATTGCGGTGGACACATAAGTACTATATCCACTTATTCACCGCTCATTTCTATCTATTAATAAATTGAATTATTTATAAATTCTTGCTAAACGGAGGCTCAAGTTTTTTGGAAATTTATGTGTTTAATGGTAGGCATTTATGTGAGACATCATAGATGTTATTTTGATTTATGTTCAGAACAAAAGAAAAAAATGTTTTATATTGAGTATCTTAAGTATTTAGAAGCTGCAACTATAAACTACATATTTTCTATCCTTCTAAGGGAGATCTCCTCATCATTGTTATACAAGTAAACATGCCATCATCCATTAAGGCATACCAGTTTTCTTAGCTATGTTTAGTATTTGGGAACTATGATGCTTGGACTCGGCTATGAGTATCGGGTACGGGTACGTATTTAAGTGTTGGATCTTTTATTTTTTATAATATAGGATATGCGGACATGGCTAAAAAGTGTCCAAATTTCAGACACGGGTACGTGGGTACGTCTTCCTAGTTTTAATTTTTTTACTAACCCAAGATGTCATTTTGAATAGATCAAAAATAATTATTCACAAATAAGGAAATGAGTATTGAATAAGGGGTTAAGATGAATAAAATAGAATTTTGGGATTTATTTTTCAATTATAGGAAGTTAATTACTAAATGTTATATAAAATAGAAAATGAGGAATTTGATTACAATTTAGATTTAGTGGAGTACTATATGGAACCAATTTTCATTTTATACGAACAAAATCCTAAACCACTAATACAGAGAAGGAAAGAAGGGAAAAAAATGAACAAGAAGAAAAGGAAAAGAGAAAAAAAAGGAGGGAAAACCTATCGTCGTTGCCTTTCTCTGTCCTCTCGGAGGCAGCGTTAGGTTTATAGAGAGCAGAAACAAGAAAGAAAATGAAAAGAATAAAAAAGAAGGAAGAAAAAGAAAGAAGAAACAAAAGCGGCGAAGTGTCTAGTTGAAATTTGAAGGATCCGACACATATTCCATACCCATATTGTGTCGTTTTCGACACGGGTACTTCGACCATTTCGAAGAGTCCGAGCATTAGAGTTTGGGAAGCAGTTTTTCTTACCTAAAGAACATTTGCCACCAGAAGATTTGGAAGAGTTTTTGATGGCCAGTTTATATCTTTATGTCTTAGTCCTCTTATAGACTTGCCTTTGCCATGCAATTTTGATTTCATGGTTTGCTCTCAGCTGCCAAATTTGGCCTTACAGTAAATATTTTTTTGAACAGAGTGCAAGTAATTTTGAATTTATCTTTTCTTTTTTGCTTCCTTTTCCGGTCCATGTTCCATTGATGAATGGTGTTCTGCTCCTCAAATGCAGTGTAAGTAGAAGTATGAATATATGAATTTAATCTTTTGCCGTTGACTGGTAAAATATTCTAACTTAACATTTAATGATCAGTCTTGCAGGACTCGCTTAATAGAGCTGGGAATATATGTTAACACCAAAGCTAGAGAACAAATAAACACTTTTTGGTTTAGTTTAGCCCATATGTTTTGTTTTGTTTTTTTTTTAAAAAAAAAAAAAGAAAAAAAAGAAAAGGAAATGTATAGAAAAAACCGATCAAACTGAAAAAAGACGTCAGTCTCTTTATGTATCTTCTTTTGTTCCATGCTATTAGTTTTAAATGTTTGGATCACAATTTGGTGGGATGTGCATTTGGGTAATTGTTAAGACCTGCTACTAGATTTAAAAATTGTAGTTGAGTAATGTGCTATGAAGATACAGATGGCTTTTACCTTAGATCGGAAGTAACCAAACTTCTTATTGTTAAATCTAGCTTGAATATTATATTTGATAAGCTTATTTTTAGTTGCTTAATAACATTTTGATATGTAGTAAATAGGAGCATATGGTTGTTAATGACTTAAAGTCCTTCAATCATTGAAAGATCTAATAAATTTTGGCTCACAACTAATAATATACGCACGGTCATTTCTAGGAAAGAAAAGCCTGGATGAAGTTATAGCATTTTATAAAAATTATATCAATCCTTTACATGTCCAAGGGTTTTTACTTTCCAAAGCCTTTCTTTTCTCTTGTTTTTTTTTTTTTTGGCACAAATATGTTTAGATTTCTTTTTTTTTTTAATAGTTCTATCCTAATTCTTGATTGCAGGCTTGTGTCATATACAACAATTGGTGGCCAATGTTATCTGGTTTGTGGGAAAGTTTATGCTCTTGTTTGGGATCCATTTTACTCCGAAATGCATTTTTCTTTTTCTTCTTTTCAACTGCACATTTTCCAACAAATTTTTTTTACATTAAATCCAATACTATTACTTATTTTCTAACTACACATTCTCCAAAAAATCACTATTCCAAATACATTTTCCCTCGAAACTACTTTTAATGGAGCTGAAACATGGACTATGTATTCTTAAACTGATTTTGCATTAGAAATGATTATTGAATGTGTGAATGTCTGACCTCACTGATGAAAAATGTTGTTCTCACAGCTCTTATGTATGTTCTTGTGCCAATGCCTTGTTTATTCTTTGGCGGTGGGTCAACTCAGTTTCTAGTCAGTCGAGATGGTGGGGGGTGAGTATTCACTCAGGAACTTCCTTACCTTTTTGGGTATTCAAATACACTGTTCAAGATTGCATTTTGAGATTTTCCATTAGAATTACGTTCTTGGTACGTTTGACATCATGTTCTTTTTGTCAACCTAATGTTTTGGCACATTATTTATAGTTCTGTCTGATGACTGGTCTATGTTCCATTTCAAATCACCCATTGCATGCCTGTGAACTTAGTTGTCTGTAGACAGACCTAATGTTTTGGCACATTATTTATAGTTCTGATGACTGGTCTATGTTTCATTTCAAATCACCCATTGCATGCCTGTGCACTTAGTTGTCTGTAGACAGACATATTGGCTGATTAAAAATGTCAATGAAGCTGTAAGTATTGTATAGTATAGCGTGGCTAATATCTTTAGTTGTATTGATGCAATATTTAGATAAATTTTATGAGATTTTTCTTCTTCTCTTTTTATTTTATTTATTTATTTATTTTTTAAATTAGAATATGAGCTATTTTATGAGATTTTTCCTCCTTTTTTTTTTTTTTTTTAAATTAGAATATGAGCTAAAACAAGCTCCCCTTAAATTAGAATATGAGCTATTTTATGAGATTTTTCTTCTTCTTCATTTTTTTTTTTTTTAAATTTAGAGTATGAGTTAAAACAAGCTCCCCAGATAGGAATGCAACTCTCTTGAACTTCTCTTTGATTGTAAGGTCATTTCGACAAATGATATGTGTTGCTCGTATCATGTGGGGTTCTCATTGTTATATATGGGTTTATTTTTTTATTTTTTTCTCCGAACTAGTCGACAAGGATCCAAAATTTGTCAAATTGAAATCCATCTGTGAGATTGACTTTTCCACACTTATATTGGCTGGAAAAATTGCAAGGTGTTCATTTTAAGACAGCGGAATGAAGCCACATGTTGTCACTATTATTTCACTATCAATTTCAAATTGATGGTCTAAAAGGCTTAAGAAAAGGAAAATGGAGAAAAACAAAACAAACGAAAAAGGAATAGGTCAATCAGTCAAGACCCCTCTTCCCCATAACCTCCATTTTTCTCTTCCAGCCATCCTAAAAAAAGTTAATTGAACCATCAGCTCCAATAGTAGAGAATAATGGGCATTGTAAATGCTGCAGATATTCTGGCTGTTGAAGATTTCATATCAGATCCAAACATATATTAAAATGTTGATGAGATTGAGGGTGGGTTGTTGTAGTAACTTTACATTGGGAGATGATGAATCTTAGTTGGTGGCTTGGGTTGTTGAGGAATGCTTTTGGAGGTGGGTGGCATTGGTGTTGCAAGTAAATGGGTAAAATGAGTTTGGCCGCCCAGGCCTTTGGCGTCTTGGTCCTTAATTGGCATGAATTGGTTGGCCCCTTAGTAACCTTGGCAATGCTAGGCGGCTTTTTTAAATTTATTTTTATTTTTAATTTTTGACAAAAAAGAAAGAATTAAAACCAGCAGCAAGGTGTGGCACAGCTATGCTGATGCCGCCTCTTCAAGGCCCCATTTTACACCTCTAGTTGGACTTGGAGTGTTGGATTTCAGGCAGTGATGATCACATGGATTTTGGGTGTTGGTGGTGTCTAGTGAATAGTAATGAGTGTGGGTGCATTCATGTCTTCCTCCCTTTTCCCCATACTTGCTATGTTTGCGATATCAAGTAGACATGGTGGTAGTGATTTGGGCAAAATATTGGTGGCTATGGCTCTCTCTCTCTCTCTCTCTGTGTTTTTATTTTTTCTCACTAGTTAAATTGGTGGATAAAAAAATAGATGGAGGTTTGATGGTGGGGGGAGGGATTGCCAGGTGGAATGGCAGCCTGGTTTAAGAACTTCTTTCCTCATCCTGCTCATTCAATTTTTGCCTTTATCACCTTTCTAAATTTTGTGTACGAAGATATTTTGGTAACTTCAGTCTCTATTACGAAGGTTTGATGATCAACCGTTTTGTAGTGTTGTGAAAATGTCATTTAGTGAATGACTGCGTGTGAACATGAACATGGAGATAAAAATTGTGACCAAATGTAAATGAGGGACTAATTTGACAATTTTTGTGACTACGAGACTAGCTTGTGATACTCAAGGATTAAACGAACTGCATCATGAAAGTTGAGTAGAATTTTTTTTATTTTATTATTATTATTTTTGTTTGGGGGTGGGTGGGTTAATCATTAATTATGTGCATGGAATAAGGCTTTGTTTGAGTGCAATTACAATACTACTAGTAATTAACTTAGGCGCTCACACAAATTAGAATGTTATTCACAGGCTTAAAATTCTGGTGTGCGTTTTTCTGTTGTTGCAAGTGCTGGAGCTAGAATGGCTTTTTTTGCAATCTATGTATAGTGAAACGACATCACAACACATGAAAACTAGCATGCGTACTTAGGCCATACGATCATTTTGACTTGCTTGATTTGTACCTATGTTATGCTATTTGTATTGGGTAAATAAACTTTGAAGCCTTGCAAGGGCAAGTAGGCATGTTATGTTTCAGTTGTGCAGAAGTGACCAGATGGCATTTCTAGGTTCATGTTATTATACTTGTTACTGAGATTTTATCCTGTTATGATTGTCCCAATAAATATTTCGTGCACATCGTTAGCTGCAACAAGACCAAGAAGTTACTAATGTTTATTGTTGGCTCTACCCCCAAAATTCTTTTTACGTTTTGGCAAATTTAACACTTATGGTGCAATTTTGTTTTGTTGCAGCTGGATCAACGGTGCCAAGTTCTTAACTGGGGCATCGGCTGTAGGGAGCATAGCCATTCCCATTATCCTGCGGCATGCTGGTTTGATTGGCACAGGAGCTATGTTCATTGAATTTACATCATTCTTTATATTTGTCTGCACTGTTCTGTGTTTTCACCGTTCTACCCTTGAGGATGAGTGGTGACATTTCCAGTGCAAGTCGAATGCCCTTGAATCCTTGTGAACGAAAAAGTTAACATGGAAAATAGACAAGGGGGAAGAGAACTAAAATTTCCCTTCTCCTTTAGCTAGAATTGCCTCAGTATAGATTTCGTACTGTCATGAGTGCTATATATGTTGTACTGTCGCGAGTGCCATATATTACTCT